TAAGAGGTAAACCCTAAAGGTACGTTACGCCCCCTCTTACTGTTATGTTGTCACTGTGTGTATACACACCATTGGCAAAATCGTTATTAGTTCATTGTGTATAGTGATCTTCTTGACTCAAGAGTATCTCTTTCATAGACACCTTGGAGAGGACACTAGATCCAAGATCAACATATCAGTCTATTGGACTAGACATCTCTGTCTCCAGGATAGAACAATTCCATATAGAGATACTTATGCTAACAAATCTATATTCCTTAATTACTTTTTTAGTTCATTCATCTAAATTATTACTATCTTATTATTTTTAAAAATGTTATTTTATATATCATATATATTTATTTGGTAAAAGTTATATTTACTACCTATTTTTCTTACTACTTGTTATTACCAAATCTTAACCGTTGATTTTCGTCAATCTAACTGTTATAATTTATTGCAAATTAATAATTAATTAATAAATATGATCCCATAAATTTCAACCGTTAGATTAACGGAAATCAACGGTTAAGATTTAGTAGTAACAATTAGTAAGAAAAATAGGTAGTAAGTATAACCTCTCCTTATTTATAAACAATATTTACATGTATATTTTAGATTTACATCGAAGGGGATTTAAATTTTAAAATGAAAACATATTTATATTTAGATATGGGGAGGGAGAGAAATATTTGAAAATGATATAATAACGTTAATTAAAATTTGATTTATTTTTATAAATTAAAATAAAAAAATTTATTTTATAAACAATATTTAATAAAATTAATTGTGCAAAAATTGAATTATTTATATGCTAAAAAAATTATGATATATATTCATGTATATAATTATTTATGTATTTCTATTACACAGTTAAAGGCCGTATAGAAAAATAAAAATCAATCCATTTAAAGTCATTTAAAATTCTTATTGAAACTTCAATTTAAAGTTAATTTTAATCTAAGTATTCCTGCCCTCTATACCTCCTTTAGTTATTATTATAATAATTTTATGTGAAGAAGTTTTATATTCTTAAAGAAATATCCTTTTATTTTTTATTTCTTTTATACATAAAAAAGTTCCTTTTATTTCTTTATTGAAGTGGGATGTAGGATGTGCATGACAACTTTTCCAGAATCAATTTTTTATTTTATTTTCTGTTCTCGGGAACAGAAATGGATAGAAAACTCGTTTGATAAAATCGATTTATTTTTTTGTTCCCGGGATGAACCGATTTATTTGTTGTGCTGGGGAACTACAAAAAAGAATAAAAAAATTTCTATTTTTTTATTATGGGCACTGAATGAGAAATACTTATCTCTCTCAATTACTCTCCACCACTACCATCATCACCACTACCACACCATCCCGACACGATCACCACTACCATCGTCGTACCACCACCATCACCACCGTCATTACCACCACCACCACCACCACTATTACCATCACTGTCACCACCATTATCACTACCACCATCACCACCACCATCATCGTAGTCGTTGCCATCACCACCACACCACCACGATACCACCGCCATCGCCGCTGCCGCAACCACCGTCACCATGTCATCTCCATCACCATCGTCGTAGACACTGCTGTCACCACCACTACCATCACCGCCACCACCACCACCACCATTATCATGTCACTGCCACCGCCACCACCACTACCCCACCGCCACCGCCACTACCACCACCATGTCATCATCATCATCATCGTCACAGACACTGCCGTCACCACCACTACGACTACCGTCGCCACTGCCACTATGCCACCCTTACCACTACTGCTGCTGCCACCACTACCATTATCACTTCATTGCCACCGCCACCACTACACCATCGCCACTGCCACCACTACACCATCGCCACTGCCACCACTACACCATCGCCACCGCACCATGTTGTCACCATCACCACCACTACTGCCACCACTATCGCCACCATTATCACCACTATCGTTGCGGCCACTGCTACCACCATCTCTACATCACCTCCACCATCACCATCATCACCACCATCGCAGTAGCTACTACCGTCACCACCACCACACCACTACCACCACCGTTACCATCGTCGCTGCTGTCACCATTACCATCGTCGCCGCTGCTGCTACCATGCCATCACCACTATTGCCACCGCCACCACCACCACCACTACCATCACCTCCGCCACCACCACCATGACATCACCGCTAGCGCCACTATTACAACTATCGCCGCCGCCGCCACCATCACCACCACACTATATGAAAAGGAAAGTGATGATCCGAAATTTTTTTATACTTAACACGAATGATTTTTTATTTTATTATTTGTTGTGTTATCAAACGCAATTCTCATTCTCGGAATGAAAATAAAACATGTTATCTAACACATTTTTTTCTCAGAAATTGTTCCAAGGCACAGAAATAGAAAAGAATTGTTTCTTTTCAGAAACAGTGCCAGGAAACAGAATGGTTACCATGCACATCCGTGATCTGATTTGTCATTTTTATTTTCATAATTAGACTTTTCAGATGATTGAGAAATGGTATCTATTATCTGTATTTTGAAGAAACATAATTAATTATCAGTTATCTTATTATTTTTCTCAGGAAAAAAATATCATAAAGTCTAACCATATGTTTTGAGTTAACAGTTTATAGTATGGGTAAAGTGTGTGTCATTTTAAAGGATGTAAAGTTGTGTCATTTTAAGAGAGAGAAAGAGATAGATAAAGGAGGAGAGAGAGTTGACAAAAAAAATAAAAGTGTGGGTCCCACTTCTTTGTGAGAGTGAAAGAATATAAGTTGTATCATTTAAAAGGATAAACATTTTTTCCTTATAGTATATATTGACTAATATATATTTACAGAGGCAACTTAATTTTACACAATACGAAACCTTACACTAAATTTTTGTCATTGATTTGGTTGTATTTAATCTCTTAAATATCTAATAAATTAAAATTAAATAATATCAACGATCAAAATTAAGAATATAATTTATATTAATATAAAATAACCTAACCCATTTATATAGGTTCATTTTTTTTGCAGTGATCACAAATAATAATTTAGCTGCAGTGAACTCAAAATGATGTTATTTTGAGCCAGAAATCAATGTGTTTTTGTAATTTTAATTTAATCCAAAATTATAATAATCTTTATCATTCTAATTTTTTAATCTTTCAACTCAAAACGACATCGTTTTGAAAGTAAATACAGATAATTTATCTGCAATCACTGTAGAAATATTTTTCTGTATTTATATATATTATGAAAGTAAAAATCCTACGTTTGGTAGAGGGTTTTAGTTTAGATTCCTAGGAAATCGAAGATGGTAATCTAAGTTACCCATGTTTGTTAGAGGATTTTTGAAAAAAATTTCCGAGAGTGTGATTTTTCCGAGATTTTATTTTGTGAACAAAATTTAACCAAAAATACCATCCAAAAGTATTCTTAGATTCCTGAGAAAATGAAAAATTAACATTTTTCTAACAATATTTTACAATCAACCAAACATAACATCAGAAAAATTCATCCAACATTTCCAAAAATATTTTAGCCTAGCAAGCAGCTTTTTTTTGTAACATTCCTAGGAATCGATATTCTCATTCTAAGGTAATTTTTTTTTCTCTACCAAATATCCCATAATGTAATACTGAAGCCTCTATTAAATTTCGAAATATATTTCATGTCAAATTAATTATTATAAGTTAAGTTCATTATACATAGATGATATTATAAAGAATAAAGTAAAAGTATAATATCAGCTTTAAATAATTTTACATTTAGAAAAGTGTTTATGTGAATGAGAATAAAAATAAATTTTTAAATTTTACATATATAATTGAGGAGATTATATTTATAATTTTTTTACTTATAATTTTTTATGGTTATTTATGTTGTTATTGAATCAAAGTTAAATTAATAATTATAAAATAATATTAAATAAGAATTATAAATTTAATTTTGATCTAATTTACAACATAACTCGATGACTCGACACAAAAAAATTATGTTCGGGTCAATTTGTTTTCAAATTCGTGTTGACAAAAATTGACAACATTTTTTTTAATATTGTGTCCTGTATCACACGCAAACCCAAAATTGATTGGCATTAATATTTTTACAAGTTATTCGTGTCGTGTCATATCGTAAATATATTATTTGTGTCTTATTATATCATGTCAATCTACATAATAAATAATAGACTTTAACATTGACAAATTATTCGTGTCGTGTCGTGTCATGTCATATTATATCAACTCATATAATATGTAACACTTTGAGATTGTAATTTATTTGTGTCATATCGTGTAATCTGCAAAATAAGCAAATCATATTTATTTAACTGGAAATTCGAGTTGTATTTGTCTTGAATGTATTCCCGTTCATTTTAAATTTGTGTGGTGTTATATTAACGTGAATTACGAGCCAAATCATAACAAAAAGATGATAATATACAAGGGGAAGGATATTGTGACAACCAAGTTATGTTATTATCAAGTGACTACCAATCAATCTTACCGTTAGATCGATTATATTGATCCAACGGTTATATTTATTTTTATCTTTATATGGTCATGATTCTCAATAAATATAAAGTATTAAATTTGAGAAATCATGACCATATAAAGATAAAAATAAATATAACCGTTGGATCAATATAATCGATCTAACGGTAAGATTGATTGGTAGTCACTTGGTAGTAACACAACTTGGTTGTCACAATATCCTTCTCCAATATATAATAGAAAAAAAATTACTCGTATGCTACATGTTATAATTTTCTCTCTTACATACTCTTCGACAACTGTGCCACATTTTTCTTTTCTTTTATTTTTATTTTTCAGGTGGTGGAGCCCACAAATTTATCTTTATAACATGAGATAACTTATCTCCTTTAACATGAGATTAATAAAATCCTATATAATAAAAGAAGAAAAAATATTTTTTTAAAATATTTATTACATAATAAGCATTTAAATGAAATAAAATTACATATCATCTTCTTTCACTTGCTTAAACCTCTGCAAAGAACAACTCTATCCTCTTTTCTCTCTGTGTTGGCGCCATGTCGAGAGAGCGTTTGGTGAAGGCCGTGAAGCAGTTTGCGGAGGTTCAATACAAGATTCTCTCTAAGCGTTATGGCCAAAACATCATCGACATCTTAGATTTCCCTATTAAGCTCGTCTTGTCTCCATTCACTTTGGCCTTCGACATTGCTGGTTCTGCTCCTCGTGGCTTCGGTGTCCCCGAGCTTATCTCTAAGCTCTCTTGTGCTTCCGTCTTCGTTAGTCCCTTTTCCTTTTTCTCTTAACTTTTAACCCCAAAATCGATGCTTTTTGCCATTTCCTTATCTGGGTCATCCTCGAACTTCTCGTCTTTGCAATTTCGCTGTGACCCCAACTTCTAGGCTTGTGGGTTTTGATAGAAACTCTTAATATTTTTCTTAAAATTTTTGTCCCTTTAATTTCTGGGGGTTTGAATAAGTGGAGTTTAAAGGTCAATTGCTGAATGTTAGATTTTTGGGAACCATTTTTTTTTAAACTTATAATTTGACCAATTGGGTTATTGGTTTTGATATTTGTGGGAATTGCATTGTCCGGAAATTTCTCTATTTTTAGCTCTTTGGTTAGTTTTTGTCTTTATCTTTTATTATTATTATTTTGATTAATGTTGTAGCATGGCTTGGTTGTAGGCTATTGCTACTTTTGGGACTTATGACATTGCATTAGAGATGGGGAGGAAGTTGATATGTCAAAGGTGCTGTTTTATATTCCTTGATGGTTGTCTCACTTGAATACTTGATGTGTCTAATCTCTCATTAGTGTAGTGTTGTTGTTTGTTGACTTTGCAGTTTGTGAAGCTCTAACTAAATCTGTGTCTCAATAACAGGAATTGTCGTACGTGTAATGGATGGCAGGCCTTGCGGTGTACTATGTGCCGAGGAAGTGGAAGGGTGCACTATCAAGTGAAGAGTTGCACCTTGAAGAGGTTAGTTCCTCTCTATGTTGATAAATTTAGAGGTTGATGGTTTATTTGGTGGTGTTGTTGAAATTTTTAATAATGTTTTCTGTTAGAATAGTTGTAAAAATAGTTCAGTATATATATAGTCCCACATCGTATCAGCTCAACCTATTAGGTCTTTTAGTCTCTTTAAATAGAGAGCTCTTGTACATTGTAATACACCATGTGATTATTCAATATACAATTATTCTTTAATCTCAAGTTGGTATCAGAGCTTTATCGCTCTGGGGATCCGCTTCCGCTAAAACCCTAAGCCCACTGCTTACGTGTTCTCTTCTACTTTGCCGTGCATTCTTCCGGCGAGTTTTTCTCTAAGTCGTGTGTCTCTCCGGCTTGTTTCTTCAACTGTCAGAACCACTTCCCGCCGCCAACAACCGCCGGTCGTCACTGTTCAGGCCACCGGAGCACTGTTCCGGCGAGTTTTCAGCCCGGAATACCTGCGATCAGGACCGTCTCATCCCGGCGACCAGTTCTGTGGTGGTCCGACCACCGTCGCGTCAGCCATGCGCCTCCACGCGCCGTTCTTCTCCTCTACGCGTGGTGCTCACGCGCCACCTTCAACCGGCGCGTGTGCACTGTTCCGGTGGATTTTTCCGGCCGTTCTTGGACAGAACTTCTCGCATTCTTCTCCTCTTTCCGGATCTGTGCTTGGTTCTTTGTGGGTCTCACTTTAGACGCGTGGTTCTCCTTGATTGGATATCGTTTGCCTTCGTTTACGGCTTTTATATTCTGTTTTTAAATGGCAGCAACGTCCACTGATCTCTCGGAGGTTAACTCTCCTTGTCCTCCTGTCAAAACTTCCTCAGGAGTCATCTCTACTAATATTGGGCCCATTACATCTTCCAAACTGAAGGATTCTACCTCTCTTGCTGCGAATATAGCTCAGTCAGACAATGCATCATTTGGTTCAGTTTCTCTCTCACTTGCGGACTATGTTGCACTCCAAACTCTTCTCAAGAAGGCTTCTCCTCAGTCTCAACCATATACTGGTAATCCCGTTGCTTGTGTTTCTCATTCTACATCACTTGGCACTTGGATATTTGACTCAGGTGCTACCGATCATCTCTGTGGTAATAAGGAACTCTTTACATCTCTTACTTATTCTGATCATTTACCTTCTTTTACCCTTGCGGATGGAACCAAAGCCCCAGTTCGTGGGATTGGCCAAGCTCGTCCAACCTCTACCTTGGCCTTGACATCTGTTTATTACATTCCCGGCATCCCTTATAACTTAATTTCTATTAGTAAGTTGATCCACTCCCTCACTTGCACCATTACTTTCTCTAACCATTCTGTTTCTGTGCAGGATCCGGGTACGGGGGAAATGATTGGAGTGGGTCGTGAGTCACGGGGGCTTTACTATCTGGATGTGCCTCGTCCTTCAGTGGCACTCTCTCTCACAGAATCTCCACAACTTATCCACAGTCGCCTCGGTCATCCAAGTCTTTCAAAGTTGCAGAAAATGGTTCCTCTTTTATCCGGTCTTCAGTCTTTAGATTGTGTGTCATGTCAACAAGGGAAGCATACACGTTCCTCTTTTGCCAGTCGAGTCAATAAACGAGCTGATGCCCCTTTCTCTCTTGTTCATTCAGATATCTGGGGTCCAAGTCGTACCTTGTCTGTTTTAGGTTTTCGGTATTTCGTTACCTTTATTGATGATTTTTCCCGTTACACTTGGGTCTATTTAATGAAAAATCGTTCTGAGTTATTTTCCATTTATAAAAAGTTTTATACTGAGATTCATACTCAATTTGGTGTTTCTATTCGTATTCTACGTAGTGATAATGCTAAGGAATATGTTTCTATTGATTTTTCTAATTTCTTGGCCACACAAGGTACTTTACATCAAACTACTTGTCCTCACACTCCACAACAAAATGGGGTGGCTGAACGTAAAAACAGACATCTCATTGAAACTGCACGTACCCTTCTTCTTCATATGCAGGTTCCCCTTCACTTCTGGGCAGATGCTGTACTCATCTCTTGTTTTCTCATCAATCGCATGCCTTCATCTGTGCTCAACAATGACATTCCTCATAACCTATTGCTTCCAGATGTTCCTCTTTATCCTCTAACTCCACATGTCTTTGGTTGTACTTGTTTTGTTCATGATCTCACTCCTGGTAAGGATAAGTTAACATCCAAAGCCTTTCAGTGTATCTTTCTTGGTTATTCTCGTCTTCAAAAGGGTTATCGTTGTTATTCTCCCGATCTTAAGCGTTACTTAGTTTCCGCTGATGTCACTTTTCTTGATCAACAACCCTTTAATTCTATTCCATCTCAGTTGTCACAGGTTGATCATGTTCTTCCTGTCCCTTTTCTTGACTTGTCTTTGCCAGCTGCAGGTGCTTCTATTCCAAATAAGCAACCTATTGCTTCTATACCTGAGGACCGTCCACTTCTCACCTATCAGCGTCGCAAAACTGTGCCTCCTGTCGACTCGACTCTTGCTGACTCATCGCCCACTGCTGTTGCTTCTTCCTCTCCGGATCCTTCACCAGAGAGGCTCTTCCCATTGCTCAAAGAAAAGGTACACGTACTACTCGTAACCCTTATCCTCTTTATACTTTTTTGAGCTATGACCGTCTTTCTTCACCTCATTTCACCTTTGTTTCTAGTCTTTCTTCTATTTCTATTCCTAAGACCACAGGTGAAGCACTTTCCCATCCAGGGTGGCGCTAAGCGATGCTTGATGAGATGACTGCACTTCATTCCAATGGCACTTGGGACCTTGTTTCTGCTTCTCCAGAGAAGTCTACAGTTGGTTGTCGCTGGGTGTTTACTGTGAAAGTTGGACCTGATGGCCATGTTGATCGACTCAAGGCCCGCCTAGTTGCAAAGGGTTTTACTCAAATATTCGGCCTTGATTATAGCGATACATTCTCTCCGGTCGCTAAGACGGCGTCAGTTCGCCTATTTCTTGCTCTTGCTGCTATTCGTCACTGGCCACTCCTTCAACTTGACATCAAAAATGCCTTTCTTCATGGTGATTTACAAGAAGTTTATATGGAGCAACCACCGGGTTTTGTTGCTCAGGGGGAGTCTAGGAAGGTGTGTCGTCTTCGCAAATCCTTATATGGTCTCAAGCAGTCTCCTCGGGCATGGTTCAGTCGCTTCAGTTCTGCTGTTCAGGAGTTTGCTTAATTCGCAGTAAAGTTGATCACTCTGTGTTTTATAGGATCACATCTCCTGATAAGTGCATCTATTTGTTAGTCTATGTTGATGACATCATCCTCACCGGGAGTGATCAAGCTGGAATTTGTCAGTTAAAACAGTATTTATTCAGTCAATTTCAGACAAAGGACCTCGGGAAGCTGCGTTACTTCTTGGGAATTGAGGTAGCACAATCTAGACAGGGCATTTCTATCTGTCAAAGGAAGTATGCCTTGGATATCCTAGAAGAGACTGGTATGTTGGCGTGTAAGCCAGTTGACACACCTATGGATCCTACTATCAAATTACTACCCGGACAAGGAGAACCATTATCTGATCCTGGACGTTATCGGAGGTTGATTGGGAAGCTCAATTATCTCACTGTGACTAGGCCAGACATTTCTTTTGCTGTTAGTGTCGCTAGTCAGTTTCTTGATTCTCCGTGTGATTCTCATTGGGATGCTGCTGTTAGGATCCTTCGTTACATCAAAGGAGCACCAGAGAAAGGTTTATTATATTCAGATCAGGGAAATACAGAAATTTGTGGTTATTCAGATGCCGATTGGGCAGGATCACCCTCGGATAGGCGCTCTACTTCAGGCTATTTTGTTTTCTTTGGAGGAAACCTGATTTCTTGGAAAAGTAAGAAACAAACTGTTGTTGCCCGATCTAGTGCAGAGGCCGAGTATCGTGCAATGGGAGTTGCTACCTGCGAGCTAATCTGGTTAAAGCAGTTGATTCGGGAGCTCCATCTTTGTGAACAGAAGAAACCCATGACTCTCATTTGTGACAATCAAGCTGCACTACATATATCCTCTAATCCTGTATTTCATGAGAGAACCAAACATATAGAGATCGATTGTCATTTCATTCGAGAAAAGATTCAGTCAGGAGAAATCAAACCGGAATTCGTCAACTCCAATGATCAACTCGCGGATGTCTTCACTAAAGCTCTTAGGGGTCCTCGGGTTGAATATATTTGTGGCAAGCTGGGTGCTTACAATATATATGCTCTAGCTTGAGGGGGAGTGTTAGAATAGTTGTAAAAATAGTTCAGTATATATATAGTCCCACATCGTATGAGCTCAACCTATTAGGTCTTTTAGTCTCTTTAAATAGAGAGCTCTTGTACATTGTAATACACCATGTGATTATTCAATATACAATTATTCTTTAATCTCAAGTATTTCAATCTCTTATAAATTGATATTATAGTTGTATTAGAATACTGCAATCTTTGTCATTTGTGGTCATGCATGGTTACTTTTCTGTTTAGTCCTAGGAAACTTATGAAGTAATAAATAGTCACACGCATATACAAAGTTCAGATGGAATGGTATCAGTTTTAACTCCTAATAATTTTACACTATTGAGTTTTTCTTAAATGGAGAGAGGCATCATTAGAAAGACCATGCTGACTGAATTTCATAAAAGTTGGAGGTTTACTGTATTTTATCAAATTTCTGCTGAATTAATATATTAATATTTGGAACTTGAAAGGAAATATCTGCTGTAAATAAGAAAATGTCTATCTGATTTATATGAAATTGGGTATGCAACATAGTGCAGTAAATTGTTTTCATATATAATTCTCCTCCATTTTTTTATTCCTTTTAGCATGTCTTTGTTTATCACATCATAGGATTCTCTTCCATCTTATATATACTTTATATGTTCTTCAACTTATTCACTTTTAGTGGAGAGAAAGCGACTGCCGAATCTGTAGCAGATGCCATTGTCGACAACCGAGCTGAGTTAGTGCATATCCCATCCGCCTTGGATTTTCAGAAACCATTACCAACAAAAGACTGTCCAACATGTGATGGAACGGTATGAACTAAATTGCAGGCCAACTTGACATGGGTGTAAAACTTTCCAGTTTCCACTATATGTGTTTGTTTTTGTGGATAGCCTCATTCCCACTGAACTGAACTACTTTGTAAGAAAACTGTGGTCCCCCCCCCCCTCCCCCCTCCCCCCTCCCCTTTCCCCCTCTCAAAAATAAAATAAAAAAAGGATCTACTTGGAGTTTGATAGTAAGCCTCCACCATGCTTCTTCTAGTAACTTTTACATTGCAATGCTACACTGCGATTTTTAGTTGAAGAATTTATTGATAATGCACAGGGTGTAATGGGCTGTCCTGAATGCAAACACAAATTGCAAGTTAGGATTTCAGCAGATGATGTGAGTTGTTTTGATTCCATGGTGCTTGGATTTTATTTTATATTATATTTTTTTCCATTGTTAATTTTTACTAATTTATATTTTAATCTTTAGTATTATCTTTGAAAATTTGATAATTCTTACCATTTGTAAGCGTCATTTCTTTGTGCAGATTATGGAGCCCCCATGGCAAGCTTATAATGTCTTGAAAAAAATGGATTATCCATATGAGGTCAGTGTTATTTCCAAATTCTAATCTGGTTCTATCTAAGCAATTGCTACTATCGTTATAATTGACAATATAATGTAGATTTCTCTGATATACAACCTAAACAAACCTTGACCCCAGGCATTCATACTTTACTACTTTACTTTTTTATTATGTATAGAAGTGCATGTTTCTCTTAAATTTATATTTCACTCAAACTTCTATCGGTTAAACAGGTGTGTCATGAAGGGACATGAAATAGAATTGATTTCACTTGAGCCTTCTCACTCTTATTTGACATTGCAATCTTAATCATTTTTTTTTTTTCAGCACATTGAGCACAGCATGAAAGATCCCAGTATTGCTGCATTTTGGCTGTTTACCTTTCCTCAGATTATGGGTGGATTTACCTATGATGATGATGTGAAGCAGAAAGTATGGTGGCAGTACAAGGTTGTTGGTTCATACTCCTTCCCATAGTTCTGCTGCAGTTCAACTATTCATCTATTATTTTTTTTAATGTTATTGGTTTCTATATGCTTTTCGTTTTCCATTTTGTAAGTCCTTCTTTGCTTGTTCACATCAATCCATTTCAACCTAAGTCTCTACCTATGTTAGCATCGAACTACTCGGAGGACAGTTAACTTGAAAATGTGCTTCGAATGAGAGAAACATCAAGGAACAAAATTTGTGGAGCTGTGGCCTCTTGGGTTTTATGCTCAAAGCAATACATGTGCTTCGTAGTGATGAAAATGAGCATGAAAATGTCTGTTGAAAATTAGGAGCAAAGATTATTGTATGATAAATGATTGCTTGGTACAAGAAATAATTAGCCCAAAATTAATTTCTTAATTGCTAATTTGTGATGAAATGATGAATATAAGGTGAAAATACAATTTCAAGAGATCAAACAAAATAAATGTGTCTTTTTACTTGTTTACCCTTATGTCTTGGTTAGGAATATGTCCAGCAAGGATAATATGGTAGCTATAAATGAAATATATTTCAATCATTCAAGAGTGATGAAAATAATTTTCTGTTCTTTGATTTTCTCCATTTTCACTTCTCCTATCCAGTCACTCTTACTCTCTTAAAGCTCAATGCAACATTTGCAGCTGATCAGAGGTTGGTTTTAGTAGCATTTCATGAAAATTCCAGGTATAACTGATCTCAGTTTGTATCTGAGATTGAAAGATCATACTGATGAAAGCAGAAAAAAACCACTTCCCATTAAATCCTGACTAGCGAGGGTAGGATCCTACTGATGAAAGTAGAACTTCACTAAATTAAGATAGATGTGATACTGTCTGCGTGTATCTTCTTGTAGGTTTCCTCTATTTTTCCGGCACAGAAATTAGCTTTCCCTGCACCTCTGCTGTTTCATCTCTCTCTCTCTCTCTCACACTCTACGTCTTTTAGTAGTGAAGGACTCATGAGACTGGTTGACTGAATAGTCCTGTGGTTTATCTCTAACTAACAATCACAATCTCTTGGAAGGTATTCTTTGGACAAAATACTATGATGTGTATGCTGATAACTATTTAGAATTTTAGATTGTTGAGGAAAGTGGTGCAGAAAACAAGATTGAGTATTTAAAATGGAATTGAAGAAAGGGAAGGAGGGACATAACACCTCTGATTATGTAACATGTGGAATTTGATTATTTTGTCCTCTCATATGACTAACCTTTTCAAACGTTAACCAGGCATTATGCAGCCTAAGTCAGCATTATTTTTAATCACATTTATGCTTTATAGCAGTTGGTCAATTTTTTTCTTTTTTTTCTTTCTAAATATGTGTTAGTTCTTTTTTGGATGAATTTAGGAATCCATGCGGTATGATCAACTCCGAGATGTGGTGGCCAAGAGGAAACCGGGGTGGGAGTATTTGCAGGATGTAAGTTTCTTAAACTGCTTACTAAATATTGTTTCTTGTAGCCATGGCTATTTGGCTATGCTTATGCTTAGCCGTGGAAGACTGAAGCAGTGTAAAATATAGTTATGCAAAATTTGGGATTCATCTAGTTGCTAAAATAAATGGAGAACTGTATATCTTTTATTATTTTGTGATTATCAAGGTGATTATTTTTATTATGCTTGATATTTTGTGTTATTCATATGGTTGAAACTATGGCATCTCAATTCTCGTCATTTCATCTGTATCAAACTTTGCACTTTTTTTTTAAATTTTTCTTTTATTAATTTTATTTTGAATCATACTGTTATCAACAGGCCTTGATATCTATAGATCCTGACCGTGCAAGGGATGATCCTGTCATAGTGAAAAATGTCCCTTACTATAAGGCTAAGAAGGCACTGGAGACAGAGGTCATGAAGCTTGACCCTCCAACAAGACCGCCAAATTGGGGTGTATGTATTTACTATGTCCCTCTCACATTTGCTAGTTGTTCCCTTTTAGTTTTTATGGTTATTCAGATTTGTCTATGCTTAAGTAATGTGTATAATTATCTTTCAAATTTGTATATGCTTTTTGCTAATTGCACTTGTTGAATGCTTTCTCCTTTCAGCTGGTTAGAATGGGCATATATAACCATAGTTGTATGGACTGGACTGTACAAATGATAAACCTGCGAACTGGTCTGTGAGCCAGTCCGAACAAGCACATTTCAATTTTCTGCATTGAACTAGTCAAACCCAGGTGACCCACCCGGGATGGTCTAACTTGGTTAAATTGTTATTTAAGCTTCAAAAAAGGCAACTTGTAGGATGTGAACACCGTACAAGGATGACCCTTGTGATGAAGTGCATTCTACCATTAGACCATGGCTCCTATTGAGCAATGTTGACATTTTTTTATTTATATTATTATCTAGTCAACCCAGTTCTTTAACACAAATGCTGGACCATAATCACCACAAGTTTGATTACAGCATATATTACTTTTCTTATAAATTTATGAAGTACTTTTTCATATAGTATCCCCCTCCCCCCTTTTTTTATCTCTTTTGCCTAAGTTTTCGGGTTCAACAGCTTATTCTACAATTAGATTGCTGAATTGACCCTCTGACCTGCTTGACCTTATTAGGTGTCTAAAAAGTACTGGTCATATAAACTCCTTATAGATCAGCAGATATGGTTAAATAAAGTCTAGGAAAGTATTCTCACATCCCTTGCATTCTATGTTTACTTCATAAACCTCGTACTGTTATGAAACCCACGCAAAACCCTATTGTATTTATAAAAAGCTCTGCATCTAACTACAAAATGTTTCCAAACCTAATAGATTCGTTGGCCATAGCCCGTAACGAGATAAAAAGAAGTTTGCATTCATTTGGTGCAGATAAATTGAAGATTAATTCTGGTGCCTAATCATTTGAATTAAAGACAAACAAGAATTGAAATGTCAAAGTATCACAATAACCTAGTAATTAAAACAGCTGACATGACAATGGGTGAGAGTATAAATACCTATAGAGTATAATACCAAATATGATATACAATCAGATAACATCAAATCAATCTCTTATTAGGTTGGTCACTCCCTTCTGCAGTTGATTGTATCTTGTATGTATATCATTCATTGTAAATTTTTTGAAAAGTAGTGTAGGGGTATGCATTATCTGTTCAGAAATGAGAACATAACTAACTGCAGAGAATTGGCAGGAGCTTGACCTTCCATTGAGTGCATCATCTTGGAGTGAGGATGATCTCAAAGATCCAGAAAAGTTCTATGAAATGACTGTTCTTCTTAATGCCCAAAGAGAAATCTCTGATAAGATCTTGGATGCACAGTGGGAGACTAAATGGCGTCAGGAGAAGGTTGGTGATTTTTGTCTTTTGGCCATCTCCTGTTTGTTTGTTCATGGTGAAAGGATCAACTTATCAGAAACTACATATGTCCTAATCTGGCATTTTCATGCTATGAAATTATGTCCAACTCCATGTACAGTTTCAGGAGCATACCCTATACTCTTACTATTCACAATTTATATGGTTTTCTTGGTTCTTGCTACAAAATTGAGGGTGTTGTCTATGGTTTACAGGGATCTATGTACTCAAACTGCTTTCAGAATTATTGTTTGCCTTTTTAGTATATATTTTATTTGTCAAATAGTATCTTATTTTTCCATGTGCACTTTGTAAACGTACATCAATCTTTTGTGCAAGTGACTGATTCTTCATTTGACCTTCAGTTGAATGAGATGTTGGAGGAAAAGGTGCAGCCATACTTTCAGAATATAGACAATGCAGTTCTTTCTGAGCCGATTTTATTAAAACCACAAAATCAGGATAAGAAGGTCTCTTTCCCTCCCTCTGTGTGTGTGTGTGTGTGTTTTATTTAGGTTTACATTCATTGATTATGCGTGTTGATTAGGATAGAAACTCACAACTTTCTATTTGGAATGTCATCCTCATACTTGTAAGTTTGTAAGTTGAAAATGAAGGTGACAATGGATATATATATATATATATATATATATATATATATATATATGGGAAGATGGATTTACTTATTGTCTCTTATTAATTAATTCACTTCTATTTGCTGTTTATTGTGTTGCATCATATGTTGCTTTTAAAGTGTTTGTTCGACATCCCATTTTATACCAATTTAATTTCTTTAGAGGTACTTTACGTTTCCATTTTGAAATCTTTTGCGTTTTTAGAAAAGAAGTAAAAAGTAATGTTCATGTAAAGCTTTTTGTTGCATAACTTCAAATGTTTGACATTTTCCGGTGGCCTTACGGGTGTTCTACAATTCAAAACTGGGGATTTTACTTCTGTGTAGAATATATCAAGCAGATACTAAAACTTCAGAGAAGGCGAAATTTTTTTTAAGTTCATTAATTGCACATCTTTCTTCACAAAAGGAAAAGAAGAAGAAGTTAATAATGTGTCTAATATCATGTTTTTAGTTTCTCTGCAATCTATCATGTTCCTAGTGTTAAGTTACTGAGGTAACTTGCATGTTACTCTTGCAGACACATCGAAAACGGAGGTGGTGGTTCTTTTGACAACATGGGCAACGCCACAACATGCAAGAGCATGCTTGTAGTCGCCATTTTAAATTTTAGAATCTGTAAGCAAACCATACATACTGTTCCTAGAGCAATGTTACATGTTTTTGTCTTGTTGTAAGCCTTGATGCAGTGCCTATCATCAAACGCACATGTTTTGCCTCTTTTTGGTGGTCATCATTTTGTGGAGGAAACAGTTGTTCGTGATACACGAAATACAATTTATGAAAAGACTTATGTTAAGTCTAGAGGAACATGACAAAACAATATATTATCTAGTCTTTTGGTAAATCATTTACTGTCGGCCAAATAAGGATAAATTAATAAATAATTTGAGAAAGAGAGCAAATTGATATATAGACTTAGAACGGGGTGAATAGTTGAACTTTGAAATCATCATGTACCTGGTTCTTTTTGACATACATGTTGTCATCTTTCACAAAACAAAGTTGTAAATTGTACTTGGTTTCTTCCAAATGATATACAAAAAGCCACCCGTGAGTAATTGATTCAAATTTTGAAGGTCGGTCTATAATTTAGTTTTAAAATTTTAATATATGACGTGGAATGTTTAACGGTCCAAAATTTAATAAAACAGTATCGTGAATTATTGGTTTTATGATATGACATCAAAATCTGGGTGATTTTATCTACTTTTTAAAAGCAAAAATAATGAGTGAGTCGCTATTATTATTATTATTATTATTATTAGTTTTTCTTTACTTTACCTCTAGGATGTGGGGAAGGTTATATTTATAAATTTTTTATTTATAAATTTTTACAAATTACACTAAGTATGACAGGTCATACTTAGTGTATTTTGTAAAAAAAAGTTTGTAAACGGATCCTTCTCTTAGGGTGTGCATGATAATCATTCGGTTCAATAGCATTATTTTTAAAAAGAAAATACCTCGGAACAGTTTCTGAAAACAAAAATTGATAACATGTTATATTTTTATTCAGAGAATGAGAATTGCGTTCGATAACATAACAAATAATAGAACCAAAAAATCATTTCCATTAAGCATAATTTTTTTTTGGATCATTACTTTTCTTTTTCTATGGTGGGGTGGTGGCGGTTGTGGCATGGTGGTGGCGTGGTGACGGAAGTGGTGGTGATGGTGGTGATGGTGACGGCAGTGACTGCAGCGATGGTGGTGGCGGCGGTGTGGTGATGGTAGTGGTGACTTGGTGGTGGTGACTAGAGGTGGCAAAGTGGGCGGCCAACCCCGCCCTGCCCCACCCCGCTATCAACTCGCCAAAAAATGAGTCAGCCCGCCCCGCCCCGCTTTTGAAAGTGGGCTGAAAAACTCAGCCCGTCCTGCCCCGTTTGGCGGGTTGGGCGGGTTAGCCCGCCAGCCTGAGCCTATTTTACACTGACCCGCCTCAGCCCGTCATCAACCCGCCAAAAAATGAGCCCGCCCCGCTTTTGAGATGGGTTGAAAAATTCAGCCCGCCCCGTTTGGCGGGTTGGCCCGCCGAGCCGAGCCCGTTTTGCCGGCTCTAGTGGTGACCGCGGCGGTGATAGTGGTGGCGACGACAGTGGCTGCGGGCTGCGGCGATGGTGGTGGTGATGGTGGTGACATGGTGGTGGTGACGACAATGATTGCGACGATGGTGGTGATGGTGGTGGTGGTAACATGGTGGTAGTAATGATGATGATGGCGTGGAGGTGATGGTGCTGATGGCGGTGTCATCGTGGTGGTGGTAATGCTAGTGGTGGTGACGGTGGCGGTGGTGGCATTGTGGTAGAGATGGTGGTAATGGTGGCGGTGGCATAAAGGTGGTGGTGATGGTACGACGACAGCGACGACGATGGTGGCGACGATCGTGTCAGGATGGTGGTGGTGGTGGTGATGATGGTATTGGTGGAGAGTGATTGAGAAAAATAAGTGTTTATCATTTTGTGTCCTGCAATAAAAAAACAGAATTTTTTTGATTCTTTTTTCTGTTCCCCAAAACAGAAATTGAACCGGTTCATTCTCAGAAATAAAAAAATAAACTGATTTTGTCAAACATTGTTTCTATTCAATTCTATTCCCAAGAACAAAAATTGAAAAAAAATGATTCTGAAAATATTATCATGCACACCCTTAATGCCCTTAGGGGGCGTTTGGTTGAAGAGAAATTTTTTTAATACTAGGGAAATGTAATTACTAGGGAAATGGTTGGAAAGTGAGTTTGGTAGGAAAATGTAAAAAAAGTTATTTGGTTGACCAAAATATTACCAGGGAAATTTATTTAAATTTGCAAAATCTATGTTCGGGAGAAACTTCGCACTTGTTTTTTCACTTTCCCAGTTATCTCAAAATACCACATCTCAAGTGGTATTATGTAACAGTGAATTTCATCCAAAAACCAACACAAAAGTCATTTCTCCATCTATTCTATTTGCCAAGTATTTTTTTCAAAAACCTGAACCAAACGTGGTATTTTCTAATATCCACTTACATTTTTCTATCAATCCCAAAATAAATCTTCTACCAAACACTACCTTAGTGTTAATATGTGAAAAAGAAAATTATCACACCCTTTGTTTTGGGCTTCGCCCCTCCTTTGTACTAAAAAATAAAATAAAAAAATATGTGAAAAAGAAAATTAGTAATAAAGGGGTATGAACTTACCATCCACATTGAAGTAGTTAGTAGCACTCTGAGGAGTAGCTACCTGTCCATCCTAAAGCGGTAGGATCTGAAGAAAAATAAATGTCTCAACTAAATGCAGTTCTGTTTAAAATTAGAAATGGTTCTCATGGAGTTGGAAGCTATCATTAAGGGTACTTAATGTTTGAAACCATCATCATTAAGCTTAGTGCTGAAGGCTTTGGCATAATTAATATAATGTAAAAAGATAAATTATGTTGAATAAATGACATGTTGGGATCTGTAGATATTTGTACAACACTCAATTATAGCCAAGCAAACGAAATTTTATCCCTTTAGAGGATATTGAGAAGCAAGATTCAACTGTAAATAGTTTTTTTAACTTTTGGATATCTTCGCTCATTTGGATAAAACTAATTCCTTCCCTGGCGTAGAGTATAAATTTTTTTGTCACTGATACCAAATTGATGATTTGGGATTTGAATCAAAGACTTTTCAATTGCAGTTGTATGTATTATTAATTCTTGTAAGACTAATCATAAACAACACAACAGAAAAGTGCTTATATACTTAAGTATTCTTTACACAATAACATCTAAAAATAACGATTGGACAAAGACTCATTTAAAATGAATTTGTAATTACAATGAGTAAGTAAATACATATTTATTTTTTATTTAACTGATTTACTAAAATTTAAAGGTGATTACGTATTACCTTATTTACTTTAAAGATAATTTTAATTTAAAAAAATTTATTTGTATTATTATAACTAAGGCCATAAGGAATGATTAGAAGCACCTTAACGTGTGGAGCTTAACATGGTAGAACCATTAACATTGAAAGCTCAATGTTGATGGTTCTCGCACCATAAATGGGAAAAAAAGGGTTTAGGGGGATGTTTTGCGAGACAGCTCTGGAGCTTGGCTTTGTTTTAGTTTTATTTTTTTAACCATTCCTTGTTATCCCAAAAAAGAAAAGAAAAAAAGCTCCACATGTTGTATTGATTATAATCTAGCTAAAAAATATCTTCTCAGCAAAACAAAGATTAAAAAAAAAAGTTGTACTTATTAAGTTGTTAACAAATTGGGCCAAGAGTAACATAATAGGGCATTGAAGAGTTACAATGACTAGTGAAAGTAACTCTATGATCACAAAATAGAGCATATTACTCCAAATCCAAGTACATGGATGGATAATGTAATGAAACGACTGATAAAAAAGAGCAGTTATAAAAAACCAATCATGTCAGATATATAAATTATTATAGAACTTGTTTAAAAAAATTGAAATAATTCATCATTTATACATATGATCACGCTAATTATTAAACAGCCATCCCACTTATATATAATAACTTATATAATTAATAAATTAGAGTGATTAAATTTAAATAAAATAAACTGTTAAGATTGAGTGTATTATTTATAGTGACATAAATTAATTCCCTCTCCCTCTATATATTTAATTTTATATTTTTACAATAAAAATGATTTAATTAGTTTTTATGTTACAATAATAATATATAGGAAAAATTATTTTTTCAGTAACTAGAGATAAAGTTATATTCAGTGAACTCAAAACGATGTCGTTTTGAAATTATAAGATTAAAAAATTATAATAATAAAGACTAATATAACTCTACAATATATTAGAATTACAAAAACACCTTAATTTTCGTCCAAAAATGACATCATTTTGAATTCACCGGAGATAATTTACTCCTGCAGAAACCCTTTACCCTTATATATAATATGAATTGACTACATAATAAATTTTAAAAATTTTACACATGCATAGACAATCATTTAGGGGGCACATGTACTATTTAGGTCTAGGATATAATAACATTTAATATACTAATAATTCAAAAAAGATTTAGACTCGGTTTATATTTAAAATTTTATCAATATTTTATTGAGCATAATTTTTGGAAAAAAAAATAATCAGCAGCAAATATTTCCTTAATTAATTAAACTGATTATTAAGTTAATTTTTTAAATAATCGAAAGCGTATTATTATTAAGAGACTATCTCCCTTTGGTTGGCTGCAGCTTTAAAGAGCACTTTTGCTGTCCACATTAGCATTAATTTAACGTCACATACCCATAAAATTAAATGAAGATGCAGATAATTGTTGACCTCTCCATTGAATAATTTATTGTCACATGCAAACTAGCAATTAATAATTTATTGTTTCTACTGCCCTCAATATGTCAGATACAAATTGGAAAAAAATAATCTTAATAGAAAAAGTTGTAAATGAGGTGGAAATTTTCCTCCACTAGCTCTAATTGAAAATAAACACAAAAACCTGAATGAGTGCTAATATGAGGTGTTACAATTATTCTTGTATGTATATTAGTCAATAATATCTATTTGTAAGCTAAAAAAATGAAGATAATAATCAAATTATAGTAATTGGATTACGGACGAGTATGACTCTCATGAATCATTTCAGGAAACACCAAGTCAAATGCAAAGTTGATTGGTAATTAATTTAACCAATTAGAAGGTGCAAAGTGCAATAGATGAATCATGGAAATAAAAACATATTTGGGTAAAGCTTTCAAATTTGTAATGGGCTAGCCCCGTAAGTGTTGATAGAGAAATATTAAGCTGCGCATTAAGCTCAAAGTGAGGTTTTACTCAAAAGAAT